TTGAGTTTCTTTGTTTTTTGTATTTGACATATACGTTTACGTTCCATACATAAATCGAGTCTGAATCATACTCTAAATAGAAACAGAATGTTTTAGATCATGAACATCGACCAAAACATCTCGAGAGATAATATTTGGTATTTGGAATTTGGCGATTAGCAAAATCAATATTATACGCAGACGGTACCTGAATGGAACCATCAACAATGCAAAAGAGACCTTGAGAGACCAAGAACGATTCAAACTGAGTGCGCCATGTAAAGTAGTCCTCTACTGCCTTGAGTTTGATAGTCACAATCTGTGAGGCAGTAGTAATATGTGAAACTCATTGGGCAAGAGATGCCATGGGAGAGGCAAAAACGGACTGTTCTGATGGCCCAACCACGCCTGGTGACCCGCGGCGGTGGGGGAACTGATGCCGGACTGGACATGCTAGCGGGCTGCCACGGAAAGCGAGGCAGCAGAGAGCTGAAGATGGAGTAGGGTTCTGCCGCGGAAAACATGGGTGGCGGCGGGAAGTTTGTGAACAGCGTGGACGACGTTGACTGCATCACCGGCGATCCCATCATGACTGGAGAAGAGGCAACGGAGATTGACGTAGAAAAGCTCGGTTGTGCCGTCGTACTTGAGGAGGAGTTGCTGAATTCCGGCGCCGTTGATACCATGGTTGTAGCGGAAGAACTCATTGTCGATGACACCATGGCTGCGGACGAGTTTGCAGATGAAGAACTCATGAAGACGGCGGAATTTTGGAGTGAGAGGGAGAGGGAAAAAAATAGGTCTGAGTTCTTGATACCATGTGGAATAATGGGAAAGAGTGCTCCAATAGGAGCCATGACAGATATATTTATAATAAAATAGGAGTTTCCAAAATAAACAAGGATTTCTAATTATATAAACTATTACTAGACTCCAGTAAGGCTGCTCCAGTGTTGCACTATTGTAGAGGACGAATTGGAAAGTGAATCTCATTCATTTTCACCGGTTTTTCCATTTCAGCTTGTTGGGGTGTGGTAAATACCATTATGATAGTGAGGAGGGTGAAGTGAGGTCGGGTGAGTAGATCTAAGAACACATAACTAGGGGAAGAAGAGAACGGGGAAATGAAGAAAAAAGAGAGAGAAGGAAGCAATTGCAGGTGAGGTGAGAGGAAGAAGGGACCACCGATGTATTCGGGGAATCTCCAACAAAAGATACACAATATTCCCCCTTTTCTACCAAATTGATCATAACCATAAAATAGTGCACCACAAATAAGAGCTAATAAAAAGACCCATAATTCCGTAGAATGACTAATCCTTGTGGGAAAAAAGAATTTGCTGGGCTGGAAAAAATGATATCCTATTTGTACAAATATACCAAGTGGGAAAGAATGAAAAAATAAAAATAAAAAAATCTCTATGAAATGACAATTTGACTCGTCTTTTGTTTTTGTGGGGTTTAATTGAGTAGTAATTAAGTTGGAAGATCCAATTGACATTTCTGTAATAGTAAGAGGATTTATTTGACATTTTTCCCAACATTTTTTCAATGGACTAAAAATGATAGACCTATGTCTAGAACACGAAAAACAATTTGCAAAAGAGGTATATTGAAGAAAAAATTGACTCGATAAAAAAATATTAATCATCATTCATAATTCTAATGCGATAATTTCACAACTTTATTCCTCAAAGGCTTTATGAAAATGTGAAAGATTAGCTTCCTTGCAATAATACTCTAATTTTACTAACCCATTTCCCAATCTCTGAAGTCGTGATGTCTAATTTAAATTTGCTTTGCTCATGAAGTCTTGAGTGTATAATATGATCTTTTAAAATACTTATTTGCCCTGATACTATCACGCAGAATGGTCATGCAATCCAATGTTATTCCAAAATCAATGAATTGATGCTTGTCCTAAATGCAATCCAATGGCTTTTTTCCGTCGTAGTATAAAGCGTCATTTCAATAGAAAAAAATGTAGTGCTCTTCCCCCTAAAAACTAACCTTCAATGAATTATCTGTTCTGAACTAGTCTGATAAATATCTGGTGATTCTAGTCTATATGTACTTTGTAATTATCCAAGTCTGGTCCGTACTGGTCTGATACTCTGATCACGTTTGAGACTGAAAACAGTCCAAGTAAAAACATCCTAAGAATTAAATGCAAATAGCCCAGAAGAGCGGACCACCCAACAAGTATCAATTATCTAGGAAAATTGCCCTAAATAGGACTAAATGAGATTTGGAATTCCAAAATAGGACTAATATGTTTTTCTTCCCCGAATAGGAGTTGTTACTGTCATGCATGAAAAATATTGTCATGATTAAAAAATACTGTCATTAATTATAATAAATATTGTCATATTAAATGCATTGTACTCCAACAATTTGACGACCACGCCTACAAGATGGCAGTAACTACTGCCATGTTAGTCATTTATGGAATAAAAACATACTCCCTCCGTCCCCCTAAGTTTGGGACGGAGGGGTGTGGTGTGGTTTTTAAGAAAAAGTGGAATTGTGTGGTTGGTATTGAATTGATAAAGTGTGAATAAAGTAAGAATGAATTCTAACCACTCAAATGTTACCAAATATGGTATGGGACAAACTTAGTGGGACGGACGAAAAAGGTAAAACGGGACAAACTTAGGGGGACGGAGGGAGTAATAGTTTTATTTTGAAATTTCAAACTCCATTTACTCCTATTTTGGGAAATCTCCCATTATCTTATGGGTAAGGTAGAAAAAAAATAGACATCAAATACACATGACACGATTAAGATATACTCCATTTACTCCTATTTTGGGAAATCTCCTATTAAAAGGCCTATTTGTTAAGAGTATATCTTAATCGTGTCATGTGTATTTGATGTCTATTTTTTTTCGGCCTTTTATTATAGATATTACTAATTAAAGACCGGTTGACAAAAAAGTGAGGTAAATGACAAATTTCCAATCATATGACTTTCTAATACCCCAGGCGTATAATTGAGGACCACAAACCATACACAGTGACTAATGTATTTGCTGCATTGACTTTTAATTTTAGTCACTTCAAATTTTGCAACCACCACCACCACCGTCGGCACCGCCGCCACCGCCACCGCCGCCACCGCCACCGCCGCAACTTCCAGTCACTTTCTTAGTGACTCCGACCAAAGTGACTCCGGTCAAAGTGACTCCGACCAAAGTGACTTTGCCGGTCACAGTGACTCCCGCCTAGCGGCCAGCGCCTAGCGGCCATAGTGACCACCTCTCACCGGCCACAGTGACTCCGGTTACAGTGACTTAGGCATGGCAATGGGTCGGGGCGGGTATTGCAAGACCCGGACCCGTCCCGTGACTTGGCGGGGCGGGTCCGCCCCGCCCCGTGACCTGCACGGGTCCAAACTTGTTGACCCATGACCCGCCCCGCCCCGCCGCAACCTAATTAGCTAGTTTGTATTTTTATTTGTGGGAAGTTGTTACCAATTGAATCTACATAATGTTTATCTCTAAATAATAATTAAAAATCAATATATTAAATCAAATTCATGATACGCTAAAAATTTCAAAAATTAAGGAAAAATTACTCAAACTTGAATAGTTAATCTAATTAGTTATATTAATAATTGAATAAATGTATTAAAATTCTATATATAAAGAAGACATTGATAATCCGCCATCCATCTCATTCTATTATATACTTATTTATATATTATAAGATCAAAGAATTTATGATTTATTGTATACACACATATGTATGTTGAAGTATATTTGTAGTATAAGTTAAGAAAAAATATGTATACTTATATATTGAACGGGTCGGGACGGGTCGGGTCGGGGCGGCACAGGTCAATTCTAATACCCGGACCCGCCCCATTGTATAGGCGGGGCGGACCCGCCCCATTGTATAGGCGGGGCGGGGCGGACCCGCCCCATTTGCAAGACGGGGCGGGGCGGACCCGCCCCAAATGTCTCGGGCCAGGGCGGGTCATTGCGGGTCGGTTTTTTTTGACATCCCTACAGTGACTGCCTGCTCACCAGCCAAACAGAATGCCCGCTCACCGCCAGTGTCTGCCGCCGTCGGGCAGTGACTGCCGCCGTCATCAACAGTGACTTCGCCGTCACACTACGCCATTAGTGACTGCCGCCACCCCTGGCCAGTCACTGTTGCCACCCCGGCCAGTCACTGTCGCCCCCCTCCCATGGCAAGTCACTGCCGTTGTCCGCCCCTTCCATTGAAGCACCACAAACCAACCACCCCGGCCGGCCAGGCGGCCACCGCACCCCAACCCAAGCCCAAGCCCCTGTCCACCATTGGCAACCTCCACCGCCGGAGACCACCACGCCCCAACCTCCTGCCTCACCTAGCCCCCCTCCCCTGTGTCACCATAGCTCCGCCTCAATTCAGCCCTCTGCCTGACCTCACCTCAGCCCTCTGCCTGACCTCACCTCAGCCCCCTGCCTGACTCCCTGCCCTGCTTCACCGGTGTTCCCCTGTCACGCAAATCCCCGGACCTTCCCTGCCTCACCACTCCCCTATTCGCCCAACGTCGCACCCCACCCACAAACCACGCCCTAGCTTCCAGCCCCACATCTCCCACCTCCCCACCTCTTCCGAATCTGAGTCACCCCAGAACGAACCAGATCTAAAAAATCAAAATCCTTCAATTAGATCTGGAATTTCGATTATTGGACGGCGGAAGCGACGCTACAGCGGCGAGGTGGCAGCATCGCAGAGTTGGAGTTGTAGCGGTGTGCTTTTGAATCAAAGACCGACCTGCACCTGCTCGAGCGACGGCAGAGGGAGAGAAAGGAGTAGAAGAAGAAAAGAAGGTTGTGGCAGCTGAAGAGAAGGGACGGCGGTTGAGGAGACACGGCGAGAAGCGGAGGCAGCGTGTGCGCCTGTGCGGCGAGGAGCGGCGAGGAGAAGCGCTTGCCTCCATCGTTGAAGAAAAGGCGGAGATGGGAGCAGACGAGTTCTCGGAATCGCAGGTTGCATAAGTTGGGCGCTATTAGACGGTGAAGTCAAATTATTGGAAAAAGTAGAAACATCAATATATTTGTCTTTTAAAAGTCCATGGCTAATATCCGTGCCATTTTTTCTAACAAATACGATCAGGAATAAGATATCGCCATTCCATTTATCCATTAGCCTAAAGTTTAGGATTTGAGCAAATAGTACATTTGGATCTTGCTTCTACATGCTCATACAAGCTTAAGCTATTCATTCTTCTCCGGTCAAATAAACACCAGTTCTTTCTCCTTTTCGCCTCTTGTTTTTTACCAAATCTTTCTCTTCTAGCATCTTAAGCTTTTGAGTTTTTCTAGATTTTGCTTTCTCCTCAAAGCCATCATCTGTCATCTTCATTGTTGCCACGCGTCTAGCCTTGAAAACCTGGAAAATGAACTCAGGCAGTTGCATTTAATATATCCACCCAGTATAACAGACCATTTGGTTGAATGTGCTGGATTTTGTCGAAGGACAAGCATTTGGTATAATACATTTCAGCCCAAATAATAAGTAGCGTTCGGTATACTACATTTCAGCCGTAATAACAAGTAATTCAAAAGCTGCTCATTCTGCTAATAAGACAAAAAAGCAGGATAAGCAACTTTTAGCTACCAAACAGGCTTTAAGTATGCATCAGCTCAGCTATAATAAGAACATTGAGATTCAAGCCAAGATAGTTGTGTACCTTTGTGATGTTATCATTAGAATCTTTCTCCTTGCATTGAAATTCCTCCAACTGTTTACCAAGGACAGCTTCTATCTCATGAACTAGTTTGACATCGTACTATATTATCAAAGGTGAGCACAAATACGCAACCAATGTCAAACTCAATACAGAGGCAATACAAAGCAGAAGAAAGTTACATTACACCTAAAAATATGTTTGTTATCATCATAAATACAACACTTGTTTTAGAGCCCTATAAAATTATTATATCATTCCTGCAATTTATATCGACTTCTTTTTAGTATCTATCCTTAACCTCCATTTAAACGATTGATGTGACGGACAACTCAACTCAAACTCCGCTAAGAGGTGAAAAATGAAAGTGGAACAATGAGTTTTGTTTAGCCCTAAACTCTTCAAACAGCCCTAAATTGAAAGTTGGCATGTAAAGGTGAGACTAGAGTTTTGTTAGCCATGTTTGTGCTGTTTGAAAGGATGAGGCCATAGAAACTGAATGTAAGAACAACAACAATATAAATTGGCAGCGCATAGAAAAAGAGATGATATATTTAAAGGGACGAAAGGCATATTTGAGGTTCTCAAGGATTTATGAAAAAAACAAAGTGGATTGACTGAAAAATAAAGAGAAGCTTGATGTGAGATGATGTAAATCGGGGAGATGAGATCCACATCCAAGGAGGCGAAAGGGGATTTTCCCATCGGTGAGTTCCGTCACCAACTCACCGAGCTTGATATGGGCAGAACCAACAGGGACAGGAAATGGCATGACAGGGAAGCTTCGTTGGTCAGGCTGCGTCCGGTCAATCATCCGCTACCAGGCGAGAGGCGGAATCTGCGATTTTCCAGCGACCAGGCGTAGTGGTCCCTGTTGCAGCTCAGCGAGCAGAGAAGATGTCATTTCACCGGGTACGACTTCGAAGGATGGCGCCACTGGCCTGCTCTCAGATCGTCATTTTGTGATCATGACCAGGTGTTTACTAACTCCCGACCTAGGCCTCCAAATCAGCTGCTTTGGAGCTCCGATACAAGCGATGGGAGATTTAAGGACAATGTTAGTGTGTGAGGCACACTGATTCAGGGAAATAGCATCCAAGGGTGGTGGAAAATAGCAGTAGGAGCATACCAGATCCAAATTTTCGCATACCAGGCTCACCTACAAGACGGCTTTGATGTCTCCCCTCGGTCACGAAACTTCTGGTTAGCACATCACTGGGGATCTACTAGTTTTGGCGAGGTTGATTCAGGGAGGGGTTTTGCGTTGGGGAAGGCTATGTGGATTGTGAGAACTCGAGGTGGCAGACAACTAGAGGCAAGTCTGGCCAACACTCCAATTCTCTGATCAACACAAAAATTTCAGATTCTCAAGGGAAGTCTTTCATTTCAAATAAGAGTAAATCATTTTATTTTGATTTTAGAATCCTCTTTTCATAATATTAGTCAGGTTAAAGGTCTTCAACCGTGTTTAATTTCACTGGATAATGATGGGGTGGATTGGCTGTGTAATTCATTATGCCATATTTTATACTCCCTCCGTATTTAAAAGTTCACTACAATAGATTTGGGCATATTATTTAAGGATGAAATAGTAGGGGTAATGAATAGTGTAGAAGAAGTAGTAGAGAGGGTGATAAAGTATTAAAGAGAAGATAAAAAGTAGAAAAGTAAGGGTAGTTGAGTACTTTTAAATGAAAAACTTACCAAAAAGGGAAACGGTAGCAAACTTTGAAATTCGGAACCCGTATAGCACACCATTGGCTTTTACAAGGTACGAGAAGTCACACAAACTTCATGTCTTTTGATAAGAATAATTTTGGTGGTTTCATTCATCTAGTAGAAACAGGAACCAAGGGTCGGCCAAACAATATAGCAATATTGTTCGGATTTGTTCCAGAAGGTCGGTATGGCGAGGGTTTTCAACATTTTGAATCTGCTGTATTGGACCAACAAGTGTTGTTAAAAGATTTCTTAAAAGGAAATTCGTGTAAGCATTTTGAGGATTTTTGGATTGTCTATTTGGAATCAATGGTTTCTTCTTTTGAGAACTCAGGGTTTATCTCATCCTCGCTTTTCAATGAAGATTTACAATCTTTTGGATTTTTAAATCTTCCTGAATCAGAGAAATTAATTGAAGCTGCTCAAGAGAGCATATTAAATGTAGCTGAGGGGACGAACAAAAATGATGAGAATATCGTAAAGGTTAAATCACTCCAGTTCTCATTTCCAGCTCAGAACACGTCCTCGGAGTTTAGAGGACAGACTTATTTTGTCAGATTCTAACGCCTCAGATTCTGACACTTCAGATTCATCGGGAGAGAAGATTGAAACTACTCCTATAAGAAGATCCCTCACTGATCAAGAGTTAACTGACTGTTTATCAGCTATAAAAACTCCTTCCATACTGAGAAGGAAGAGTGCGAGATTAAAGGCTAAGAGTGGTGTTGTCATATAGAACCTTTTTGGATCACATGTTTCGGGTCTTCTTGAAGGGTCTGATTTTCCATTAGGGATTTTTTTCGAATTAATGTTCTTCAAACTTTTGAGTGGAGTCTAAGCTCTTGTGTTGATTTGGGAGAGGATATGCTTTGTTGGGTGATTGAGAGGACCCAAGCTCTCTGGCAGGTTTTTGGGAGACTTGTGTTTTCGGGAGACGTCCAACATGTGGCTTTTCTCGTGTTAACTGGCTTTATTTTATTAGTTTCTCTCTCTCTCTCTCTCTCTCTCTTCATTAACGTTGAATTGCATTCCTTTGTTCATTAGCACTTTTGTACTCTCCTTTAATAAAATATTTTAATAAAATTAGGTAAGAGTGTCCAGCTCTTACCCCACTGAATCTCATGGAATCCCTTCTGAGAATTTAAAAAAAAAAAAAAAAGTGGATTGACTTCTTGCCTCTGTAACTATACTAGCAGCAAGCCCACCTCTACCTGCTCTTGCAGTTCGACCAACACGATGAACATAATCACGTGGATATCTGTAGTATAACAATATCAAGTTATTAACAAAAGAAAATGTGACACCATTGATAGAAAAAGTATTAAACCCAATCAAATTAGCAAACCTTGGAAGATCATAATTTATCACCAGATCAACTGTTGGAATGTCTAAACCACGGCTGGCAACATCAGTTGCAAGTAGGATAGGGACCTTTCGTGATTTGAATCTTTGAAGCGCAGAGAGTCTCCGTGACTGAGGAATGAATGAGTGCAATGCAGCAGCTTCCAAATCAAGTTCTTCCAATAACAAACTTAAATAATGACATGTCCTGCTCACACCCAGTAAAGAAGTTATTACTGACAAATTTAAAGGTAAATCTTCGGTGCAGTAATTCTTGTTGATACATGATATAAAGGCAAGTAACATGTACCAAATATATCAAACCTGCAGGTAGAAACAAATACGATGGCAGATCGAATGCCCATATCTTCCATTTTAGACAAAACACAATATAGAGAAACCTCCTTGATGTTTGATGGAGTTAATAAATACTTCTGTGCAAGGGACTCAACAGTATTGAATCCCTCATACGCCTCATAGAAATATGCCCTATTTGCAGAGAGCTCAAGTAAAGTCTGCAATTCACCCGTCATTGTTGCAGAAAATAGAAGTGTTTGGCGGTTCTTCGGCAAACACTGAAATATTACTTTCAGGTCCTCTTCAAAGCCGACGTCTAAAACTCTATCAGCTTCATCAAGAACAAGGAACTGCAATGAATTAAAAGAACAGCATAAGCTCCACGATTTAAAATCACAGAAGGTTGCATTATTCAGAAGATGCCAGTAAAATCAAATGAGGAGAAAATAGGGGAAGTTTGGAAGGACAGAAAACGTGAGGGAAAATAAAATATTCCTTCAAATACTATAGATTTATTTTTGATGTTCTTTTGAAGTCTTTCCATTCATTATTCTACTATATAAATACTAAAAATATGAGCATAACAAAAAAAAAAATCAAAAACATATTTCATTGTCCTAGCGTTTCCTAGATAAGACCAGAATTCCCTGTAATTGTTTCATTTGCCCAGCATTTTACTGGATCTAATTATACAATGATTGGCAGAATGTTACAGAAATGCAGAAATGAAGGAAGTGAGGGACCTTGGTTTTTGAGAAGATGCAAGGAATGTCAGGAGTCTGTTGGAGAAGAGTCTTGATTCTTCCAGGGGTTGCAATAACCACATGGGGTCTTTGCATTAGAGTCTTGGCCTGATTGATAGCATCCATTCCCCCGACCACTTCCACACATCTCAAGTTCAAGCAGGAACCGAGGGCGCGAAACTGCTCGGCGAGCTGGTAAGCCAACTCTCGTGTGGGAGTAATAACAAGGGCAAACACTCCGAAGGGATCTTGTGCGAGGAGATGAAGTAGAGGAAGGGCAAAGGCGGCCGTTTTCCCAGTACCGGTTTGTGCAATTCCCAATACGTCTTGACCAGTAAGGATTCTGGGAATGCAGTGGCGTTGAACGGGCGTTGGTTTCTTCATGCCGAGCTCCTTGCAGGTCTGGACGACCCATTCGGCTAGGCCTAGATCGGAAAAGGGGATGTGGTCGGGAGTTGGGTAGGGATCCGTCTCCTTATCCAGTAGCTTGGGGTTTTGGTCATCGGCTGGAGGAACGGCAGTGGTGGGTTTTGGTTTATGCGAGATTGTTTTGCGCGAAAATAGCCGGAAATTTTCACTGATTCCTATATCTTCTTGCTCTTTCATAGTTATTATAGACTTGAGATGGAGGAGAAAGGGGCAATCGCGATTTGAGAAGAGAGCGCTCTGCCAGGTGAGGGTAGGGATAAGTAGCAAAAAAACAAAGTAAAAGTTGAGAAGAAGAAGAAGAACATCTTGCTACTTTCTTTATTTGGGTAGCTTAGGTTTATGCTTTGGCACTGCTCAATTCCAATGAGATTATAGAATCAGTTGAGGCTGTGAGAATAATATGGAAGTATTATTTATAATATAGAAATTATTACTTCAAATAGAATTAAAACTATGGCAAGAACTCAAAATATGACTTGCTATGTTTTTATTCTAAAATAAGACCACAGTAGTCCTATTGGAAACATACTCATTTCTTCCTTTCATTCTTACACTCCTTTAAATATTAGTAAAAGATAGCTAAAAGTCATAATTAAATGTTTAATTCATAATAAATCCGAAAAAAATTCAATAATTCATAGAAAAATAATAAAAAAATTATAAAATAAAAAATAAGAAAAAAAATTTAATTTTTTTTGAAAATTAATAAAAAATAGTAAAACTCCATAAAACAAATTAAAAAAAAAATGGATACATTTCCCACCGCCTGTACTACCTCCCTGAACCACCACCTCCGATCGGTGTAAAAAATATCACTTTTTTTAAATTCCACAAAAATGGCATATTTCTCTTTGAGAATGCCAACATTATCATTCGGCCAACTTGAATCCTTTTGACTTTTGCCAAAAATATGGCATTCATAATTTTTTTGCCATTTTTTTACCCCGGTGACAGGAGGTGGTGGTACCGCCTCCCTGCACCACCACCTCCGACCGTTAAAAAAATGCCATATTTCCAACAAACTTCCATTTTTTTCGGAAAATGCCAAAAACATGGCATATTTCTCTTTGACAATGCCAACATTTTTATTCTGTCATCTTAAATCATTCTGAATTATGCCAAAAATATGAAATTCATAATAAATTTGGCATTTTTTCCCCAAATGACTGGAGGTGGCGGTGCTGGAGCGGCAGAGGCGGCAGTGACAAAAAAAATTTTGATTTTTTTTTAATTTTTTTTTGATTTTTTTTTAAAATTTTTTTAATTTATTATTATTCAAAATATTTTTTTTAATTTTTTGGTATATTTTACGATTTTTTATTATTTTTTATTATTTTATTATGAATTAAAACATTCCAATAGGTATAAGGGTATATTTGTCCAAGACACACATAATTAGTCCTATGGAAACATAGTTTATTTTTCGGTCATATTTTATGTGCAAAGTGAATGACTTTTAGTCATATTTTGATAATTAACTCTTTATAATAAAAGAGTTCAAGATACCTCAAGATTCCTACTATAATTAGACAACCTAATTAATATTATTAAATACATTATTACACCTCCTCAAGTTGTGTAGGGGAAACAATGTGCGGATTGTCTCGAAGAGAAGTAAAGCGCTGTGGAGATAGACACTTCGTGAAGATATCTGCCAACTGAAGCTGAGTAGGAACAAACTTGACCTGTAAATCACCATGGGCCACCCGTTCACGAACAAAACGATAATCAATATTAATGTGTTTGCTGCGAGCATGTTGAATAGGATTCGCGGATAAGTAAAAAGCAGAAACATTATCACATAAGAGCTGAACAGGTTTGTCGATGGAGATGCCCAATTCGAACAGAATAGAACGGATGTGAAGAGTATCCTGAACAGTGTAGGCAATGGCGCGATATTTTGCCTCCGTAGAAGATCTGGAAACCGTAGGCTATTTCTTGGACTTCCAGGACATCAAATTTGGACCAAAAAAGATAGCAAACCCAGACGTAGTCATGCTGCGGTCTGGACATCCTCCCCAATCAGCATCTGAGTAAGCCAGTATAGTGGGTGCTGTAGAACTCGGCCGAAGAAGTAGCCCAAAATCAGACGTCCCTTGTAAATACCTGAAAGTACGCTTAAAAGCCAAAAAATGTGTAGTACGGGGAGCATGCATAAATTGAGAAATCAGGTGAACAACATAAGTAATATCAGGTCGAGTCATGGTTAAATATTGTAGTGCTCCTACCATACTCCGATACTCAGTGGGATCTGCTAACATATCACCATCAGTTAGCGAAAACTTGGTACGAGTGGGAAGAGGAGTTCGAACAGGCTTGAGAGTATGAAGATGAAATCGGAGTAACAAATCAGAAACATATTTTGTTGGGAAACAAAAAGACCACGAGGAGTATAGAGCGCTTGAACTCCTAGAAAAAAATTCAAGTCACCCATATCTTTCATAGCAAAGGATTTATCAAGACGGGATATAAAGGAATTAATGAAAGATGGGGAATTACCTGTAACAACAATGTCGTCAACACAGAGAAGAAGATAAATAATATGTGCGCCATGTCTAAAAAAAAAGGAATTATCTGATCGACTACAAATAAATCCATGCATCAAAAGAAAGCTACTCAAACGATAAAACCAGGCATGCAGTGCTTGTTTAAGCCCATAGATTGATTTGCGAAGACGACACACATAATGAGGAAACTGAGGATGAACAAACTCAGGGGGCTGACGCATATAAACCTCCTCCATAAGGTGACCATGAAGAAATGCATTTTTAACATCCAACTGGCGGATTTGCCAACCAAATGAGACAACTAAGGTAAGAACAAGACGGACTGTCGTGGGCTTGACGACTGGCGTCGACGACTGCTTGTTTCTTCTTCGGGGCCCCCCAGATCTTCTTCTTCTTCTTGCCCGGAGCCACACTCAGAGGTTCCGGATTGAGTGGCCTGGAGCTTCCGGCCTCGGTGTCATTACGAGCAGGCGGGAAAGCAATGGTGACCTTCATCCTCTCCTTTTCCTCCCCCTTCTCGGCCACTTGAACTGCGAGGGCCAGCTCCTCGTCCTCATTCACTTGCTCGAAATCTTCGGCCTCCAACTCGACCCGAAGGGCGTTTTGTACCTCCTCGGCTACCACATGGTCGTTGTTGGCCGATAGCGTCTCACTCGAGGACTCCACCTCGGATATGCTCTCGGACTGCATCGAAGGCTCCTTGGAGATGTCTTGAGAATCGCTTTGCGAAGACATGTCCGGAGACTAGAACTGAGGGGTTTAGAGAAGAGGGCTCCCTAGATGGCTCTAACACTTGATCTAAGAACAACAAAGCTAAATGTGCTAAGGAAACGAAGAACAGATGAAGAACTGACCTTGGAGATTAGGGTTTGATCGAGGGCAAGAGTTTATCTCTCTAGAAATTTTGGCAGAGCTCCGCTATTACTCAATATCGCACAAGAGGAATGAGGTCTGGCCTTGGGGTATTTATAGGCTTCCAACCTCAAAGAACGGGCCTCGATTTGAAAAGCCCGTCATTACGGGCCGCCGGTTCAACCAATGGATGGCTCCCGCCCACCTTCAGCCAACGGCAGCCTGCCACGTCGACCCCTCCTCCAACGGCTCTTTTCCAACGACTCTATTTTGGAAACCATTGAGGCAACCTCAGATGATAGCCTCCGGCCATCACTTACTAAGGCCTTTGGTGAACAACTTCTACCAAGTGCTCTCGAGCAAGCATCTTTACAAGCCTTCAGCTTGTCAATGTTGCCACTCACCAGAATATAATTGGACGATAGCCTCCGACTATCATCCACAGGAGCCTCCGGTGAACATATGTCACCTGACACCCCCGAGCAAGTAGCAGTATAAGCCTTCGGCTTATCAATGTTGCCACTCGTCGGTCAATGACGCCCCTCGGGGTCGCATGCAAACATCATGACTCCTTCAGTCCGAACCTCCCTTCAGTCTAAAGGAGTGGGGGATTGGGATACACCCCTCGGGAATCACACAGGACAACATATCCACATGCAAAAATTTACAAGTGACACATGCAGCCTCCGGGAAAACATCAAAGGAGAACCCATCGGGTACATGCTTCCATATACCCTTCGGCAGAAGCAAAATATCGAAAATTTCCCCAAGTCACTGACAATGATGGAGCAGCCTTCACCACAACACATACAGGCAACTCATCTGCACTTCCCTCAGAAAACCCTCGACATGTGGGGGACTGAGGGGAAGCCCTCGGCAAATACCAGTGAAGCTCTCCGGTAAAGCGCAGCCTTCGGCAGAGCCAGCGCGACAACACAATTACTCCTTTTCCCTCGAGTACCTCTCGGCAAAAGGAGTGGGGGACTCCTGATGGAGTATATGGCCCAGGGACCCCCGGCCCATAGACTCCTACTTCTCCTACACAGGCCCATTGAGCCCAAGGAGCATTCGAGGCTCAAATACAGCGGCCCAAGTCTCAAAGAAGCCCAAAATACGCACTGGGGTGCCTTCGGCCTTCTTGGACGAGGGCTCCAAATCTCACAGGGCTGCCGGTTTCAAGCATACGAAGCTACTGGGAGAAAACGGCGTAAAACAGTAGCCCTCGGCTACCAGATGCCTTCGGCATCAGGGAAGCCTTCGGCACTCCCATGCCCTCAGCTACCCAAAGCCCTCGGCCGAAGGGGGAGCCTTCGGCCAACAACTCAATCATCGAAGATTCCCTTTGGAGACAAGCAACCACCGCATTTAATGCGACGTCACATCCACCCACTGCATTCAATGCGGTGCACATGCGATTGCCAGTGCCACCTGATTGAGGTGACCCCTCGGCCGTTAGATTATCGCCACATGTACTCTCATCGCATTTATTGCTGCTATAAATAGCAGCCCCTTTCCCCATTGTAAAGGGCCAGAACATCTCGAGTTCATAATATAATCTCCTCTCTCTCTCTCTCTCCTACTTGTTTGCTCTGACTTCTCTCTAGGTTATTCCCGTAATAACCCCTCGGATAAGCTACCCCCGGGTACACTGTCCATCAGGGACTAAGAAGCTGTTCTCTTCGTCTGATCTGAATGTTTCTGATCTGAATTTATTAAGTTCTGATCTGATCTGATCCGAATCTTTCTGATCTGATCTGAATCCTTCTGATCTGATCTGAATCTTTCTGATCTGATCTGAATATTTCTTTAATTATAATTATAATTATTATAATTATTATTGTAATTATAAATATAATTTAAATATAATTTATAATTATAGTCTTAATTCTAAATAAATTTAATTATAATTATCATCATAATTATAATTATAATTAAAGTTATAAAAATTATACATACTACACTGCTTATAATTATAGTTATAATTATAATTGTAATTATATTTTTAATTATAATTATTTCTATAAA